CCTCCTAATATTCTCTAAAGTCTTCATGTACATCCAAAAGTGCATCGCGTGAATGCTCTCTAGTTGATGGCTAGGGAGGGAGCAGGAAAGATCATTCTCTGGTGTTTGTGGCTGTGCTGTTTTATTTCTTTCCAGCTTCCCACTCTCCAGAGTGCTGATGTTCAGCAGCCACTGTGAACTGATTAAAGGGAGGGTTCAGGGAGGAAAAGGGACAGAAATTATAGCTCTTTTGACAAGTTTAAATATCTGTGGGTCCATCCACCTGTTACAGGCTTGCAAAGATAGTAGCATCTGTGTAATACAGAAGAAATTTGGTTCCTGCTCCTGAGAGCCTTCCTTTGATGACAAGGATGAAATAGTTAGCACCTGTATAGCACGTCATATCTGCACAGGGCTTTTCACTGATCCTCAGAATGCCACTGTGCGGTTATTATTATTATAGTGTTATTATTCCCCTTTGACAGATGGGGAAACAAAGTCAATCAGAGTTACTATAAGTGCATGTCTGGGACCAGCTTGTGGAGTCATGTCATTACCTCAAAAATAAGCTTTCATTTTAAGTTTTTAGCCATTGTGGCTGTAAAGAAAATCTTGAATATATGCCCCTGATGTAACCAATGCAGTCATGTCCGCCTGAGTCCACAGGGAGACAGAAACAATAGCTTTGAGAAGTGTAAATTCCCTGTGCATCTCAATGGGTGTTAACTCTGAGATCTATTATGTGACAGGAGGAGAGGATTGTAGAAGGCCTGGGCCAACCTCTCAAACAGCATACTCTGGCTACTGGAGTAAATATAAGGAGGCCTCCTTGCTGCCAACCCTGCCTCTCTGGGGGTGGGGAAGGGGTGGCAGAAGGGTCCCCTTAAGGGAAGAAAGGCCCTTGTTACTGCTGCTGGAGTAAGAATGGGGCTCCATGCCACTACCCCACCTCTCTGGGAAAGAAGACACTGGCACCATTACATCAAATAGAGGGCTGAAGACCTGGGTGATTTGTGTTTTGGTGCATCTAGGTCCTTGATTGCCTTAATAGAGTCCTGAAGTTAATGCCTTTATTGGGCCTTAGCAAAAAGCAGTGCACTCATTTTCTGATGAGGCCTCAAAGGAATGGGTGAGTACTGTCAATAGAAGATCTTAGGGAAGCAAAGATGCTGCCTTCTATCTTTTTCAGCTTGAAGGGGTGGTTCTGTAAGGTGAGGGACCCAGGTACCTGGAGAACTAGCGGGAGAAGGCAAGGAAAGTTTATCTTTGTGATAGCTGTCACATGCTACTTTCCTAGTTTTAATCTTTCCCACCTTTATATTTTTGACTGCAACTGTTCCCAAGGTAAGACTATGACACTAACTCCAAATACTAGGACCCAGTCCTTCCATGCATGCTCCATTCACTTCTGTCTAACCAGGTCAGAAAGAACACCAACTGGTCCCAGCCCCGGTGCACACGCTCAAATCATAGCCTCTCTGACTATGAGGTGAAATCTGCTACATGGCAAAGTTAACCAGGTCTCTTTGTTTCCATGGAGCCCTCCACCCCTCATGTCATCCTTGCACATACCATACTGGGGAACACCTCCTTCCCCTTGAAGTGGCTCCAGCCCCTCCCAACCCCCCTGAATTCAGCTCCAAAGAGGTAGGTAGGGGACTCCCATGCACACTCATTCCTTGAAAGTGGTGGGCGTGGAAGTACTTTTTAAAACTAATGAATAGGATCTCATTAATGCAATGCAACTCTGACACACAATGCAAATACCCACCCCTGAACTCAGTGGGAGTGGGAAGCTAACAATCAAATTATATATCCCCCATGTGGTATGCAACGCCACATTGTCCCTTCCAGGCTCACTAGTGCTGGCAGGCCTAGCACAAGCTGTCCCTCCACATATCCCACAGCAAAGCAGGAAGTGAGGGTTGTATTTATGCATGAAAGGGGAATATGGGATGTGCAGGCTGACTCTACTAGCAGCCCTGCTGCTCTTGTGTGAGACTCGCTGTCCATGCATGGGACTGTGTACTAGAAGCAGTGACAGGGGCTGGCTGTGAATGTCTCTGCAGACGGTAACTTTCTTTTATTATTCCTCTCTCCTTCCTGCCTCTATCAAACCAGAAGACTTAAGAACCTGCCTCAGCACTCCCTGCTTTACCTCCCATATGCAGGTTCTATTCAAGCTCTCCTCCATTCACAAGACATCTGTCCTTTTTTTTTTTATCCCCTTTTCCCCCCACCCCTTGATTTTCCCTTCCTCTCCAGTTCCAACTCTCCATGTTGGACAACAATTCATCTTTGAGCCAACTGAGGCACTTCAAAGAACTGGTCTTCTGAAGACCCTACCAAGTTCCCCTTCTTTTGCTGCCTCCTATTGGGCCTGCAGGTCTTGGAGTGGTCAGAAAGAGAATTTAGCAGTACTTAGAGATGGTGGTCCTCATGTAGGCAGAGCCACTAGTGAAGGTACCTTATAGCACAGATTTGCCATTACAGAGCTGGCTGAATGATTGGGGTCAACCCTTTTACTGAGAGCTGTATATAAGGATGTAAGATTGGTAACTAGGCCTCAGTGAAAAGGAAAATAAAAACCACAAGAGGAGGGAACTGGCGATAAGAATGTCCCAGAGTTTCAGGAGCCTTTAAGAAGTGAATCAGAGTGTCTCACTTCAGTACTCAGTGGACAGGTGGCCATACGAACGCATCACTCCAATAGGTGTGCTGCAGAGGAAATGTTGCAATTTCAGTTTATCACACTGGGGACCTAAAACTGTATTATAGTCCCAGGCTTGGTGTCTTTAATCAGTAAGTAAGAGCAAAATAATAAGCACAACCTATTCTTCTCATACAAGATCACACACAGCTAGCTGGCTTTAGCCTTCCGTTTCTTTGGGGAAGTCTGATTTGATTGCACTCCCATCTAAATTTACTACTGATATAAAACCTTCCCTCATTACCCCCTGCCCAAAACAAAAAAAGTAGGCAGCCCTCACCAATAACTGTATATATAAGGCCAAAGTACGTGCCTTTTCCCAGGTGTCTATACTTTACCTAGGGCACAAGCTTGCTCAATTCAAGCCCAAACCCCCAATAATGAGCTTCAGCTGGCCCTCATTACCAGTCAGGTACTCAGTTAAGAAAAGGCACTTTTTTAACCCTCCTGTCCCTCACTGCCCAAATGAAGAAATTCAATGGGTTTTTAACTCAGGCTGCCTCAAATACACACCTTTCAGGATGCTGATTAGCTACCACAGAAGCACTGTGACAGTAACTCCTGTTGATGGGAGCCAGGTGCCTAAATACCATTGAGGAGTTGGGCCCTTAGAGGAAGTCTCAGTAGGGAGACCAGGTGAGTACACAGACTGAATTACCCTCAGGTAGGGAGATGCACATTGGTGTGGTAGCATAGCGAGCTTGCAACGTCACTCCCCTATGATCTATCTATCTTGTTTATAAATAGAGGGTTTCGGTCAAAGACTCTTCATCAAAGACTCACTTTAATTTTTTCTTTTAATGCATGTTACTGAAACTTCAAAATCATATCATATATTTGAACTTATCTCCCACTCCATCACGGGTATCAAATAAAGCTAGGTTCCAGTCTACAACCAGCTGCAGTTCTGAACTCCGGCACTCCTGCTGCTGATTTCTAAGAGGGTTCTGAGACCCTTTGTTTTGTGAGCTGGGCACCTGAAACAGAATTCCACATATCCCTGGCCTAAATGATGACTGCAGTGCATACTCTCATGGCAGCTTCTCAGGGATGATGGCAGCAGAGCTCCAATTTCAAGAAAGCAGCACAAACCCTTAAAGCAAATGGTAATACCCCTATGCCACTGAGCTGTACTTTACTCCACAAGCAGTCTCACTGAAGTCAATGGTACTGCCCAGAGTCTCTCCTGTGGACTTTACTGGGGTTTAACAGGTTTGATCCAAGGCAGAATGCCTAGCAGAGAAGCACTGCTACACTAGTGTCATGTGGTTCCTGTAATACCCATATGATAACCAACATACTCCTTTGGTGAGAACTCCTGGGAGCTGAGCTCATAAGTCACCATACCACATTAGCTGAAGTGCCTGCTGAACTTTCAGAGTAACCAACAAAAAAACATTTTATTAAAATATAAACAAGTCTCACCAGGACCTATGGAAGAGAGGCGAGAGCATGTAACTCTCTGTCTCTGCTTCCTCCTTTTCCTTTGATCTATGTGGCTATCCTATAGAAACCACCTGAGTACCACGAATAAAGCCTGAAATTGTAATCTTGCTTTGAAATGCTATAACGACTTTTGGTAAGGAAGAGTAAACAGGCTCTGATCCAGTTCAGCTGGAGATTATGCCTGATAACAACAGTCCCATTTCTCACATGTAAACTAGTGATTAGATCAAGAGATGGAGAATTAGGATCCTGGATTCTGTTCCTTGCTCTTGCCACTCACTCAGTGTGTTATTTGGGGCAGGTCATGCAGGGTCAAGTTTCATAAGCACCCTCCAATGTTGCATTCCCAACTTTAGACATCTGAGGTCTAATTTGCAAAGGTGCTGAGCACATTACAGCTCCCCCTGTCTTCAACTGAATTTGCTAGCTACCTAAATTTGGGGATGCTTTTGAAAATTGGGTCTTACCTCTTTCTGTCTCATTTTGTTCCATCTGTTTAATTGGGGATAATAAATTTTGTTTACTTCAGAAAGGTGCTGTAAGACCTAATTCATGAATTAGTATTTGTAGAGGACTTGGAGATTTTGCAATGAAAGGAGATGTAGAAGTGCAAAGTATTATTATTATTTATTAATTTACTAGCCTGAACTGTGAAGACACTTGAAATTAGTTTTTCAGTTTAAGATTTTGAGCACATGAAGCCTGATTCTCTTCTTGCTTACATAAGTGTAAACTGGGAGTCACTCCACTGAAATCAATGGAGTCACTTGAGGGTGAACCAAAATAAGACAGCAGAGAATCAGGCTCACGGAATGTTATCATAAGGACTTAGTACAATCATCCACAGTAATAGTCAGAGCTTTACCTGATACAGTTCTATTCGTTGTTCAGATACCCGTGCCTTTGAATTCTGCAAACGAAAAACTCTAAACTCTGCCTTCACCAAGTTGGAAGCATTTTTCTCCATCGCTGAGACGTCAAATCTTACGATTCTGTAGTAAAGGCTGTAATAGTTTGGTGGGATGGCATCTGCAAGAAGTTAGTGTAATCTTTTAAAACGATAAAATACATTGTTCTTTCAAAGACCGCAACATAAGATAGCTTCAAGAAACAGTAAGGGAAATGTGTGCAGCATGATTCAGTTTCCAACGGCCAATTTAATATCATTAACAATTTAACCAGAAAAATAAACACATGTGTTTAACTAGGGGAATAGCAGATTAATAGCGATTAACAAACCATTTCAAACTCTATTTCAGGGCATGCATTTAACCCTGTTCTTTGAAAGTAACAGTGGAAAATCCTGGATGCTTATAAATTGGAGCAAGTTCATGACAGTTGATATCTGGAGAATGACTTCAGACTTGCATAGGCTTAATTGTATTTTCCAAGAAAACAGAACTTAATGGCAAGCACTTTGCCCCGTGTAGGTTTCATTATTTCAAAGCCGACAGTAAAAATGCCCAGCCCTGTACAATGTGTTTTCTGTTTTAAATATTTTGATTGTATTAAACTGCAAAAAAATAATTAGAAGGGAAAGGGAATAGACAAGCATGTACAAAACAGAGAACTACATATCCAGTGACCGACTATTAACAATACATGATCATGTATATTAAAATGAACTCCTGCTGTGCACTGAAGAGGATCAGGCAAAAGCACAGGCACTATTTTAACATTTGGAAAAGCTGAACCAAAATCTTAAAAGACAGCGTTACAAAAATCATCAGTTTAAATTTCAAAAGGCTTCCGCTCCTAAAGCTTATCTGATGTTAACATGGCAAGCACTTACACCCAATCCCATGTAACATAATGGGTTCAGTGATCCTCATAAGCTGTTCTACCTAATTATGTCCACGAGCACAAACAACAAACCATGTATAGTGCTACTCCTGGGGGAACTCTGCACCACTGCATGTGCGCAGAATTTATGTCCCCCACAGATTTCTTTGCTTCCCCGCAGAAAAATGACTTTCTGACAGGGAAGCAAAGGGAAGCCACAAAAGCAGTGTTGCAACCCTCCCAGCAGTATGTTTCAGGTGCTCAGGGCAGCCACCAGAAAGGTAGATCACTGTGGGGGAAGGGGAAGGACTGGGGAAGACCTGGCTGGTGGCTTCTATCCTGCACCAGGCTCAGCTGCTAGTCCCGGCTGGGCTGGAAGGACGAGACTTCCTCTTCCCCTGCACGGCATCTGGGGCTGAGTCAGACCCACCCCCAGATTTCTCCCCCAACTGCAGGAAGCTCTGCAAACTGCCCCCCGCACCTCACTTCCTGCACCCATCGCTCCTCAGCTACAGGGGGAGGGATCCCTGTACAGGGAGCTGCTCCCCCATCCACCCAACCCCCTTGCATCCAGACCCCCTCATACCCACACCATTCCACTGAGCCTCACCCCCACCCATGAGCCCCACTCCCCCAGCATCTGGATCCCCCCATTGAGCCCCTCATACACAGACACCCCTGCCAAGTTCAGTCCCCCCTACATCCAGACCCTCCCCCTGCTGGTCCCCAACCATCTTCACCTGGACCCCCTGCAGAGTTCCATTACTGCTGCACCTAGAACTTCCCCCTCCCCGCCCCAAGCCCCTGTGCATCCAGACTCCCCACACACACTCAGATCCCCCACTGAGCTGCCTACACCCAGACTGCCTCACACAGAACCCTCTCAACCCACACCTGGATCCCCCACACTAAGCCCCTCCACACTTGGATCCTGGCTTGCTGAGCCTGCCTGCCCACACCTGGCATGGAGAGGCAGGGCCCTGGAGTGTTTCTGGGGCAGGCCCGGTCCTTGTGCTGTGTCAGGGTTGGGTGCAGCCTCACTGTTAAGTCCATGTCCCAGTGGGGAGCTGCACAGTGATCTCCCACCTCTGTGCAGCCACTAGCCTTGCTCTCTAAAGCCATGCTGGAGCCTCCACATTTATTTGACAAAGAACATTTGCATAATTTTAAAATACTGTGTGCAGAATATTTATTTTTTTGGTGCAGAATTTTTAATTTTTTGGCACAGGAGTAGTAGTGTTGCTGAAAACGCACTGCAAGTGTGACATTCTCCACATCCTGCTGTTTGGCAAGAGGTCCTCCAATTGCAGAGTGGGTACAGGGAGCCAAATTCAGAGATGAGTCCAAGTGAATCTAGAGGCCTCATACAACTCCCACTAAAGCTAAGGGGAAGTCTAACTTTTCTTTTACATTTTTTTTAAATTGAAAACTGTATAGAAGAGAAATAAAGATGAAAAACACATAATGGTGGTGGTGGGGAAAGCATTACAAATTGACAAAGTGGGCCAAATCCTCTGTCCATGTAACTCCATGCGCTTCATCAAGGTTATGCCAGCAGAAAATTTGGGCCACCATCTTTAAAACACAATATTCTCCCCACCTCAATACACTTGTCATGAAGTGGAAGCAGTTGGCACATGGCACATTATAGGATTGGGCCTCTGGACAGTTAAAAACCCAAGTGTGACTCTCGAGCTTTCTCAAACGTCCTGGAGAAGACTCTTGCTCAAACCCTTTTCTGTAGTATACTGACTCGCGGGCATTAATCCATTCTCATACTGATGGAATGGAGTTCTTTCTTCTGTGATGCATTATACAATTCCTAGCTGTAGCAAAGGCAACTCCAATAAGTTTGAGTCTATTTCTAAGCCACTAGTTGTAGAGGATGATTGGGACAGATCATTAATAATGGAAACCCACAAACAAAGAACATGTTGCATGTTTACAATGTCTTTAAGGTATTTTTCCACAGCTATCTGAACTTTTGAACAACCCCACAGTTCTAGATAATTTTCAAAAAGGCACCAGCCTCACATTTATGTTTAGTACACCTGTCACTGTTCATTGCATCTATTTTATGCATTCTGGATTTGAATATGGTAAAGAACAAATACAAGGCAAGTACCAATGCAGTAAAGAGAAGGGCACCATCAGCAAAGAGTGAAATCATATATTTCTACTGTCCTTATGCCCTTTACAAGGGCAGCTCCTCTAGATATATGGCTCAAAATCTCATTAAAACCTGGAAAATGGATAATCTTAAAAAGTAATTCTTAATAAGAGGAAAACTTCAGATGACAAAGAACTGATCTAGACCATAGTTTGGCTTCTCTATACATAGTAGATAACCAATTCTCAGAATACATACCAAAGCCCACATAAAAGGGATTCCCAAAATAAAGTTCCACTCAACATGGTCAAATGCCTTTCTCACAGCTAGTGCATTGACTTACCAGTCTTTCTTACTGATCCCATCAATTAAAAAATCTTCTCAAATTAGCAAATATACCAAATCCTAAAACAAACCCCAACTGATTACTATGCTGGGCAACAACCTTGCCACCCTGCTGGCTAAAATGTCTGCTATAATCTTACCATCGGAATTCAAGGAGAATTTGGTCTATAAAGCCTCGCTAACAGGAAGTCCTTATCTTGAGTAATACAATGGTCATGGGCCTAGGGTGACCCGATTTTATAGGAACAGTCCTGATATTTGGGACTTTTTCTTATATAGGCACCTATTATCCCTCACTCCCATCCTGATATTTCACATTTGCTATTTGGTCACCCTATGTGGGCCTCTCTCAAAGTACTAGGGAATTGCCTTCTTCTAAAAGCTTCCCTTTAAATATCAAACAAAATTTAGTCTCAATACTTTTGAGAAATTCTATCAGAAAGGTTTCAGAGTAGCAGCCGTGTTAGTCTGTATCTGCAAAAAGAAAAGGAGTACTTGTGGCACCTTAGAGACTAACAAATTTATTTGAGCATAAGCTTTCGTGAGCTACAGGTTCCGATGAGTGAGCTGTAGCTCACAAAAGCTTATGCTCAAATAAATTTGTTTGTCTCTAAGGTGCCACAAGTACTCCTTTTCTTTCTATCAGGAAGGTGTCTGAACCGGTGGGGGTATATGCCCATTTAGAGCAGAAATAGGTTTCTTGATTTCTTTTTCTCTTATAGGGAACTCCAAGATTACTACCTGTCCCTTGTTCAAATCTTGTCCTACTAGGAAAAGAAAATATTCAATAGAACCCTCAGATTTCACATCATGGGAGGAATATAATTTTGCCTAATAATGCCTAAATATATGATTGATTCTTTAGGATTAATTGTAAATTGTACTTTCTTGTCAATTATTTGAGGTATTGGCCTACAGTTTTATTCCCTGTGGATAAACCAAGTTAGGAAAGGGCTACTCCTCCCATACACACAGGCAAATGCACACAAATACACAAACACACACATCCTGTTCATATGCTTTTATTTGAGGTACATAAGATTCTATTCATCCCTCTGTGTCAGAATTAAATTAAGTTCTACTGTATGTCCACATATGTCTTCCTCTATTTCTACTGAACAAGATCTAGCAAGGGTATCCTCCAGGTTGCTCAATGTTGTTTATAGAAATTATACTTCCTTCTCCCTTTTCTGTTTTTTGTTTTAGATACAGACTATTATTAATCCATGAATGCATTCTTGAAGGATCTGCCAGTAATTTCCTTGACACACCTCCACAATATATTTTTTCTGATCAAACAAAATCAATATTTTTATCTATTTATTTAAACATTTTTCCATTGCCAAATAAAATCTAATTCAATCTCCATTACACAAAAGGTGTGGGGATATCAACGATTTGAAAATAACTGAGGACGGGTTACTTAACTTACAAAATCTTTACAAATAACTGCAGAATTGGGGCTTCAGAAATCTATCCATCCTATTGTATCATCATTAAGTCTGTGTATTGTAGCCGTCTTTAAGATAGTAGAAAGACTCACATTGACTTTAAAAAACGTTGGATTTGGCCCCAAGTGACTCTAAAATGCTGTAATTTGTACCTTCTTCTGACCCCTCCTTAGCATACAAATTGTGTCAAATTAGGCACAGTTGGACTCCCTTCAACTCCCCTTTGACTCTGGCCCAAGAATTTCAATGCATTTACACCAGGGATGAGTCTGTCCCGTTTAGTTTCCAAGCACAGTTTCATTGTTAGAGAGCAGAAGCCTTAAATATTCTTTGAAAGAGCA